ATACGGTGCTCTGCTGCTATGGTTAAGGGTGTATGTTATCCGTTTTCCCTTAAGGAAAACGGTTGGGTGGGCGCGATAAGATAAATGGAAAATATTTTATTTACGATAGATTTCTATAGGAAATAAAGGGTTATTCTTTTGTTCTCTCTAGTAACATTTTCATAACAAAATGCTACTAATGGCAAACCATTGGACCAAATTCAATCAAATTTCATCATTAAGAACCGGCGACACCTCCCACACCCCAGATAGGGGTCATCGGGGTTAAATTTTCAAAATAGCCCAAGTGAGCTCAAATTTACCAGGAATGATCCTTGAGGTGTACAATGCTACTGATGTTAACTGAAAAGCTTGGAAAAAATTTGCTAGTATCATAAATAATGTTCTTAACACTCATGTTCCCAAAGTGACCATCAGAGACACAACAGCACCGGCTTGGATCGATGGTGAAGTTAGGAACTTTCAGAACAAAAAAATATCTGCATGGAAACGTGCTAATTCTACTAATAAAGAGAGCCATTGGGCTGCTAAGTTTAGAAATTACGGAACAAACTCAAAAACCTTATTAACTGAAAATTTAACAATTACAGTGATATTGGTTCATCAATTGTTAATAATTCTAAACGTTTATGGACGTTCGTAAGAAACAAAACTAAATCAAAATCCTTGCCCAAAACACTGCATTTTAATATTGTAACTGCTTCTCAAGCCATGGATCGGGCATCCCTGTTTAATAGTTTCTTCTACTCTATTTTTACTAAGCCCAAAGATTTTCGTTTTCGTGTTTTACCTGATGTAACCATTCCAAACAACCATCTTTTAGGTTTGGGTAATATTGATTTCCAGGTTAATGATGTTTTTGAAATCCTTGTGAAACTCGATACCAGTAAAGCAATTGGTCTTGATGGTATTTCACTGGTCGTTCTTAAGAACTGTACTGAACAACTTTGTTCACCACTATGTTTTATATTCAATTTATCCATGACCACCAGTGAGCTGCCCAAAGACTAGTTGAAGGCAAATGTAGTTCCTGTCTTTAAAAAGGGCGATAAAAACGACGTGACTAACTACCGACCAATTTCATTACTCTGTGTGTCTAGTAAAGTGCTTGAGAGGCTGATTTACAATGCAATTTTTCCTCAACTCATGAATTATTTTTATGATTTACAGCACGGATTTATCCGTGGAAGGTCTACAGTGTCGATCAGCTCCTAACTGTGTTTGACAAAGTTAGCGGGGTTCTGGACAGGGCTGGGAAAGTTGACCTTATTAACTTTGATTTCTCTAAAGCTTTTGACAGTGTTTCCCACCAATTACTCTTACATAAATTAAATTAAAATTATACCCATTTCACACTGATGCTATTTTGCAAAATATTAACAACTTGTAACAAGTTGTAACCAGGTTTGGATGAGTATGAAAGCAAATCCTTGTCCCCTGAGTAATCTCGGAACAAAAACAGACCATCGCGAGGCCTGTTTTTTCCCCGAAATCTTCCGAGTTGTTGTTGCGCATGCGTCATGTCCATATTTTGACCTTTTCGCAGGCTGTGTTTTTGTTTTTTTTTAGTTGGAACGAATGGCGGCAGCGATGGAAAACGTATGAACATTACTACCATTTGTTAATAGGCCTAGACCTAAAATCAAAAGAAATCTCGCTAAATTTCACATGTCTGGTGTAGAAAAAAATCACGAGGCTTCGTAATATACGCGGACAGCGAATCATTATGATGCTTGTCGCACTGATTGCCTCTAACAACAATGGTGAGCTACCTACTGGCCGGCGGCCCGACTGCGCCTAGCTAGGCCTTTCTTTCTCGCCAGCTCGACTACAGCAAGCGAGCTAGGAGTTGAATTCGTTTTACTCTCCGAAGGCTAAGGACCATGGAATAATTATAATCTTGTTAATTCGGTACCAGGCCTAGTTTAGTAGTTGATATGTAATTCGGACAACCTACAACTAGGCTAGCCTAGGCCTACTACTAGTGCTACTCTAGGCCTAGTTTTTCCGAGATTTCTCATGGTTTGAAAGTGCATGTGTGAAACGAACCAAAAATCTCGGAATATCAAACTTGTTACAACTTGTTAATAATTGTTAAAAGTTGTAATACTTTCTGCTAGTGTAAAATTGGTATTACGGTATCCACTCCAATCTTCATCGATAGTTACAGGCATATCTCTGTAACAGAAAACGAACCGTCGTTGAAGGGTCAAATTCTGACTGTTTACCCGTTACTTCGGGGCCCCTCAGGGGTCTATCCTCGGACCCCTTCTCTTTCTTCTGTACATTAATGACTTGTCCAGTGCTGCCCAGAATTCCACTGTAGCTCTGTTTGCAGACGATTCGAAATGCATCAAGGATATCAACGATGCTAACGACTGCAAGCATCTACAGGAGGACATTGATGCCTTATACAAATGGAGCAAAACCTGGGATCTTTGCTTTCATCCATCCAAATGTCAAATTATCACTATTACACGGAAACGTAATCCAATTTTATATAATTACAATATGAACGGTGCACCCCTCTGTAGAACTAATAGTATCAAAGATGTTGGTGTTGTGATCAATTGTGTTTTAAAATGGGACAATCATGTATCAAATATCGTTTCCAAATTTATCCGCAACCTGGGAATGATCAAGCGTGCAGTGGGATATGCAGCTCCTATCAATGTCACTAAAACACTTTACACTGCCTTAATTCGGCCTGATTTAGAATATGCTAGCCCTCTATGGAGTGGCGCGCACCTCTAAATGCAACTTGCAACGTTTGGAGGGCGTTCAACGAAAAGCAACGAAATTTATATCATTACCCAGATTGCGATTACAATGAAAGACTTTCGTTACTTACCGTATATTCCGGTGTATAAGGCGCAAATTTTATACGCGATTTTTCCTCCGAAGTTTGGGGTGCGGCCTATACACCGGTCATTAACCTACTCCCAAAAGTTCAGATCGCGAGCCGCGGCAAAAATCAGGCGCCGTCTGTCTAGGTTAGGCCCACGCTAGCCCAATTAATTAGCCTAGGGTAGGACCGGTTTTTAGGCCTAGTATTTGTAATTATACTCACTACAGTGCTGTGCAAGGATTCCTACTACATTTCCTACGACATTAGCAATGGTTTAGGAATTGTCTAAATAATTACTTTCATAATTACGTTCAATCGTAAACAATTTTGAAAAACGCTGTTTCTGTTGGAAACCGCTTCGCTCAAAACAATAACAAACTACTTTTCGGGAGTTAAGTGGGTCCTCGAGTTCACGTGAGCAGCTTCATTTTCGATGTCGCAACAAAACAAAAGTGGGCTGGTAAAACTTGCTGGTTCCCGGTTGCTTGTACCGTTATAGAGAGAATATTGATACCGCTATAATTTTAGAATAAAAACTTGTGAAATGTATTTATGCTATAAAAACATGAGTTTTCTTGAATCAAGTTGTAATAATTATTTTACTGGAATTTAACTGTAGAAAGGCATACGTCATGGGCAAGCGTGAACTCCGTATCCACGATATTTCTCCAGTTCTAAGTTTTGTTTATAAAACGTGGTGCATGATGGTGCATGCTTCGCACGGTAGTGGCTATCGGCACTGCCGCAGTGCCGATTTGGCACTGCCGCAGTGCCAAAAAGCTGCAGTTTTCTATCGCCACTGCCGCAGTGCCAAAAAGTTGCTGTTTTCTATCGGCACTGCCACAGTGCGAAAAGCTGCTGTTAATTAATCGAATCGATGTTTTTATCGATAGATGACATTGGTATAATTCATAATTTTATTTCACTCAAAACGTAATGAGACTGGTTAGGCAAAAACATGTCCCTGTACAAGATGCCTTCCAGAGAAACAATGATAATATTAATGACATTGAAGGTGTTGTATTAATGATGTTCTAAATATTTGCCTTTATTATATCAATAATTGATTAGGTCTAGCTTTGCCTATATTATTATTAACATTATATATATTATATTTGTTTAACAATTAGTTTAAATAATTATTTCTAATTAAATTATTAAATCTATACAATATATATTATATAGGCCTAGGCATATACATAAAACAAAAAATAAACAAACAACAACAATAATAATAATAATTTTACGATAGTTTGATTAATGAAATAGTAATAATCAGCATATTAAATAAAATTCCGTCCATGCAAAACCTGCTTTTAAATAAAAACGTTATCTCTTTGATTCTGTTTTAAAAAATAATCTTACAAATTATAAGTTTATTTTCTGCGATAATTTTATGCATATATGCATATTCATGTTTTCAATGTTAATCTGGTTGATAAATAATATATTAAAAAATAAATAATAATAATAATAATAATAAAGGTGCTCGAATAATGCTTTAGTGAATAATTAATAATACTTCAATAATGCTTCAAAAGGCCAATTTACGATAGTGTGATTAATAAGATAATTGTTGATTAATTTATAGAAATATAATACGTAGGCCTATACATGTATTCCATTAATAATGATTCAGCATATTAAAAAAACAATACGTCGTAAATATAAAATTTGATTGGTTTTTTTTTTCAATAAAATTTTACCTATTTTAATCTGTTTCAAAAAATATTAAATTATAATATATATATATATATATATATATATATATATATATGTGTGTGTATATATATATATGTATATATATATGTGTGTGTGTATGTATAAGTATAGTATATATATATATATATGTATAGTATATATATGTATGTAAATGTATATGTGTATATGTATATGTGTGTTTAGGCATAAATCTATATATGTATATATATATATGTATATGTATATATGTATATATATATGTATATATGTATATATAGGCGTATGTATATCTATATATGTATATGTATATATATATGTGTATATATATATATGTATATATATGTATATGTATATATGTATATATATGTATATGTATAGGCCTATATATATGTATATGCCTATGTATATATATATTTGTATATGTATATATATATATGTATATATTGTATATATATATGTATATGTATATATGTATATATATGTATGTATATACATATATATACATATACATATACATATATATACATATACACATATATACATATATATACACATATATACATATACATATATATATATATACATATACAAATATATATATATA